GTATGGCTCCTACACCCAGTGTATACCGGCATAGCTTCCAGTTAGTATATTGTTATATAGAATATATGGCTCGTTCATCCAGTATACACTGGTTTTGACTTTACAATTATCACTGACGTGATACGGTAATATATTGTGAGCGATAAAATCAATTGACTGGAAAATCAATTGACACGAAGGTGTCCCCTAAAACTGTCAAGCATGCACTCCATATCGTCTTTCACTTCCTTGCCCACGTCGAGAATCGGTAACATGAGTTATCAGCTTCTGGGTTGTTGTAGTTATAAAATTATAAATCGTTTTACCCTATTATAAGCACGTGGTTCGTATCATGTAGGCTCGCTGAAACCGATGTTCATTTCAATAAGGCGCAGTATCAAATGTATGTGACATGTTGTTATTGTTAAATGTTCATATTCAAGTTTGAGAGTATCACTAATATTGCCCAATTGATGAAATGGTTGAGTGGGTCAAACTATTTAAAACAGAGCATAGAGAGTGATCTCACTAGTAGTAAACACGAACGTGATTATGAACAATTTTCTAGATAAGGTTACATAGACCACTTTCAACATGTACATCCCAAAGCGAGACTGGCCAGAAATGGGATCAAAACAAGACGCCTGCTTTAGTTATAGCTCCAAATACAAACATGTCAGCCTGCTGGTATTTAGTAAAAAGGGGTTATTATTTTGACACGTCGATTGGTACATCTGTAGCTGTCACGGTACATGTATATAGACGGGAAATATGTAGAATATTGAGAGGTATGTAAGTCCGCCCTCTGTGTTGAAACATGCATGAACGCTTTGTTTTTGTATTTTCATTAAAGACTGTCGCATTGACCTTTCGCATGCGTGTATTATGACGCATTAGTATCGTTGCTTAGTTGCCCCAACATCAATAGTTTCCTATAGTTCTCTAACAATAATTGGAGTTCGTAATTTATCTATAAGTGCTGCGTTCCAGAGGCCCCCTAGTTAACAGTATATGAACTGTACGATTCGATTTGTTAGTACAAGTCCCCTGTTGTGATACACACTATCATAGAGTTTTAATGATTCCAGCGTAGTAACTATGCATTTTTATATCTATCGTTTTCACTTCGTATTATCAGACCGAATCGTAACATTCCCGCTGCATTATTTAACCCTCGTGTTGGGTTCATAATTATTGCTCTAGTGACGGCTAATTTCCGCCATTTCTGTGTACGATCAAAATGATATCCATTCTCGTTTTCGCTTTTCCGGCATGATGTGCGTACACAATGCTCCCATATGTATTGTGATGCCGAGTGGCGCTGAAATTACCCACGATATACGATTGTGCTAGCATTGTTTGTAACGGACGCGCTGATTCGTCCTTTTCATTACAGCTCAAAATACGCCTTAAAATCAGTATATCGACTTTTGATAACGATGAAACTCTAGCTGATACATTATCCACGAGCACATTATCACGTTATACCCGGCCCAGTGGAACCTTATGGCGCTTACTAGTTACCTGTGTCCTACTTGCCATTCGCAAAGGACGCCGGGAACAGCGAATTGTATGAACCCGCAGTACACAAACAAGTACACCGATGCGTTTGATGAATAACATAATAATATGATAATACAATTAATGTCGTATAATGTCGTATTACATTAGCCGAATATAGTATCTAATCAACGTGGACGTATGTTTGTGCGCTCATAGAAAGGACAAAGGATTCGCAAACAACAGGCACGGGCAGAGGTAATTCGATAGAACCAGGGCCACTGTAATGGTGTGTATGTGTGCAGCATTATGTTCAAAATATCAAACGGAATGATCGTTGAAAGTAGAATCATACACGTGTATAATGCGAACACGAACGATGTCTAACCTCGTACGCTGTTGAGCTGATGTTCTATTTGTTCATTGTGCCAAGTCTGCATAAATGCAGTTTCTATACCCGGACTTCAAATACTGCATTGTGTTTCCCCTGTGACCTGTTTATAAAAGGCACTAAAATAGGGCTTTGTATCCAGCAATTTGAGTGCAGTCTTTCACGGTCTAGTAAAAACATACCTGTTATTATCCCAGCTCTGTAGTCCAAACCGTGCTACGTGTGATATGTTTACAACGACGTTGCTTGGTGACTATTTGTTATGCAACTTGCCATACTTAATTACCGGACAATAATGGCATTGTTCCATATTACCGGTGTGTAGACTGGAAACACATTAATTATTCAATTGGCAAATGCTAGGCTGTTAAAAATGGTATAATTCCAATGAATACAGTAAGATAGTAGATTTCTTTTTTCTGGTAAAATGGTTCATTGCGAATGGGCTGCAACGGACAGTCGTTTGATGTATTACTTCATTGCGGACTTTATCAACAGATTTCAAAATGCCAAGTTGATTCACGGCAAATAAGAATTAGCGTGAGAACACCCGAAAACATACAATGCAACTAGATTTTTCGATCTTACTGAATTCAGTTCCACGGGCGCAATACACCAAAGTGAGCAGACAACAATGTCAATCAGCCAATTACCGCGGTATATTCGGGAGCAGTATGTAACATTCTGAGTTCCGATTGGTTACTGGTCAGATACGACTTGAACTTGATATTCA